CTAAACGGAGTGGTGTTGCATGCTGTACTAGGTATCGAACTCAAGTTCTTGTGCTTGCCAGGCAGGCACTTAGACCATGGAGCTATCTTCCCAGCTCTCTTTTCCTTTTTTTTTGTTTTTTTTGAGACAAAAAGTTCATTATGTAGTTCAGGCTGACCTTCAACTCACTTTGTAACTCAAGCTCGAACTCACAGCAATCCTCCTGCCTCATCCTCCTAAATGCTGGAGTTACAGGTGTGTACCACCAGGCCTGGCCTTGCTTAGGTTTTAATAAGTCTAAATAATGTCTTAGAGCTTTGGGGAAAGGAACATTAACTATAATAACGTACATAAAAAGGTGTTAGCAGAATCGTAAACCTTTGTCAATGTTATAGGGCTGTAAATGAGATTTGAGAGTGTGACCTGGATCTCTGATTCAAGAGTCTGTGTTCTGAACTTTACTGCTTATTATCCTTTCGTGTACTCTGCAGGTGTGCATGGACTGTTCATTTGCTAGGGTGCCGTGCAGTGGTTGGAGGTACAGTGGTGAGCACGCTTCCATTCACATGCATCTTTGAAGTGTAAGATCCTCTACTTCACACTTGACTAAGTCTTAGGCTTTATTAGAAAAAGAAGAACCCTCCAGTTCAATGAATCCATTGAGTATATATGACTAATTAATGAGTCTGTGCCAGAATTTCCCTATGGTTATTTTTGAAGAAAGTCTATATTTACAAGGTTGGTTGTTAGGATCTCTGACCAGAATCCTGTGGACCCCAATGTTGCCGACAGGCAGATCTTTCCCTTCCTGGCACCAACACAGAGGAGCGATAAAATGGCACAACATTGATGAATAAAAGAAAGTTGGTGGCAAAGTGGCAGGCTTATTTCTCTACTCTTGAGCAATAATAGCTTTGACTGCTCCTTCTCATGTGATGTCAGGAATTCCATTCCTAGTCACAAGCTGCTTTCTGCAGAGATGGGGTAGATTGTGAAGATCAGGATGTCTCTCAGGACCCAAAGGCAGGAAATGTAGTGAGTGCTCTCAGAAAACTGGAAGCCATCATCCAGAAAGTCCTTCATATCCAGGCTAGTTATTATGTTCCTTCTTTAAGCTTTGTGGCCTCAAATTTTGCTTCTTTGCTTATGTTCTTTATTTCTTCCCATCTTTTGTTCCAATCTAGTTTTTGCTGTTATTTCTCATGCATAGCTCAAGACAGCTGCCCTACAATGGTCACTTCAGGATGAGCAGAGGCTTGAGTAACATTGTGTTCCTTGCCTACAAAAAAGGTGCCTATCTGCCTTGGCCCAGGTGCCCTGGCAACTTTGGTTGGGGATGGTGGGAAGCAGGAGAATAATATTGTCACAAATATGGTTGTCAGATTCCATGCGAGGTGTGGTTCTAGGAGCACAGCTTGTGGACTGGACATATTACATAGCATCCCTGTGATGAAAACCTTAAAACTCTGTGTATAGATACTTAGGGAGGGGGCACTAAGGTTCAAGCACTGAACATTTTCTGTAGGGATGTAAAGAATTGCTATGAAAGAATTTATGTTAAAAATAACTTAGCTCCTGAAGGAAGGAAATGACTCCAAGGAAATAATTTATGGAATACAGCCCGAGGGACGGGGAAGTAAGTCTCTGTACTGGATCACTTTGCATGGTGTTCATTGTCTTATTTTGTTGAATGACACTTGGGAACAAAGAAAGAAGACTGAAGTTTATGTGTATGGGTTTAATTTATAT